CGTCAGCATTTTCAGTTCGCAATAGCAACATTTTCCACGTTTTAATTTCTTTGATTCCTCTGAATTGCAACGGTAATGTTGCTTTTTCGCAGTCCGTTTATCTCCATAAAAACTGGGTTCACGAAGACATGAATTCGCCCCGAAAGACCGATTACTTATCTATGTAGATCACTTTCACTGCCCGTTTTCTGTTGGTTTCAGTTTTCTCCCATGGAGTGCCTTATAGTACTTTCACCAAACGAACTTTCAAAGCAGTACCTTAGTTTCGATGAAGTCGATATATTTTGGCAGTAATCAACCCCTTCTGTGAATCCTCGAAACCCCGCATTCCAAATGAATTTGTAGTGGCGTATGATTGCGAACATTGCTTATCCAATGAATTGCGGTGGCCAGCCAATCTGCAAATCGGTTTTTCAGCTTCCCAGACGAGTATGGTACCCATTAACAGGCTCTAGAGAGATGAGAAAATTCGAACCCGTGAAATGCTTGGGGACAGTGCGTCGCTTGCCACTACACTACCTCCGCCCATTTCAATTTGATTAAAAATATTCTCTACTCTGAGAAAGCCAGCTTTATTCTTGAGGTAGAGACCATTACCTTCCTTATACGAGTGGAGTGAACTTCACCCGATCACTTCTGGCTATCTTCCAATTCCAGCAATTACAATCTTTTGCAAAACTTCGGAAGCCAGAACAAATTTTGCTATGAATTTGATGACCTCACCCTTACAACTGTGAACTTTGACTCTGAAAGTGACTTAACTGACCATGTTCGTTGCTTTATCTACAGCTACAACTCAATTGTTCTCTGAACACTGGCTTCCTGGATAGCGCATCGTTTCTGGGTTTATGGGTCAAACGGTATCGGCCCAACATTGCAACACTTTTCACTTTTCTCTTCCGTAATGAACGCCAAGTGAAAATGTCCCAATCAGATTATTAGTTCATCGTCATTATTCCTAGACAGGAACCACGAGGAATAAGCTGATCGGAGCTCTTCAATCCACGTTTCCATTTCAATCCTTTTCAATCATAAGACGTTTCTCTCCACCACCAACGTGTTCCTTCTCAGGAGAAAAACCTTTGTTTCCTTTCGATTCGAATCATATCCGACAGGCTTAGCCTATTGATTGTCTTTCAAACTTCTACCGTTTCTTAGCGACTTTCTCGTAATGACGTGACGATTAATTTTTCCTATTGTGTAGTGGCCTCCGCACACAAACACTCCTCGTTGAACAGTTTATGCTAGAAATATTGAGTAACTAGGTGAAACATTCGCATTCTGGTCGACAGCTCTACCTTCTCGTCGTCATAAGATGCTTATGGTCTTGAAGTGGGGCCTCTGACATAGACGATAAGGTCGAAACGTCGACAGAAACTAAATATTCCATCATAGAGCGCTGAGGCATCAGATCACAAAGTCGAGTAGCTGCCAGACATACGCAAGCATATTGAAGGAGCTGTTTTTCCGCGAAATGGTCGAGGTGTTGTGGTTTCTAGTTCTTCCTAAACATCTGCGTCGCTTCAGGATGCGTATCGTATGTATTGGAGCAGCGCCGACGGGCTTGGGAGCAGCTTATCGCCTCAATGAACTTATTCAGGAAAAGAATATCAACGCTAGCGATGTCGAGATGGTTATCTTTGAAAAGGTGACCACTTACTGACATGCCATTATAAACGTGAAAAATAACAATATTTGATTCTACCTCATTACGTACTTGATGATGGTAAACCACTTGATTTTGTTGACATTTTATGAAAATGATCAATTTCTTGGGATGAGTGATACGGAAGTGCCGTCTAGTTTATATGCATCCGATGATCTCATTCTTCTTCGCTTTTTACTTTGGACTCACCACAAAACCCGACTGACTATACGTCAAAGTATCGTGAAGCACCAACTGTTCGATTTGTTAACCCCAGCTATTCTTCAGATTCCTTTAACCTTCCTGTTTTCTTCTCCTTGCACAACATTGCCTGCAGTAGTGGAAAATGCTCTCCCGTCTGTGTTTTCATGTTTGGTTGAAGTTGCAATCGCATTAAGTCTTTAAAGTATTCAACTTGAAATTTTTTCGCATGGCTACCGTCTTTTTTCCCCATTAACTACATAGTTCATAAAATTTTTATTTATTATCAAACAACTACGAGCCATCTCAAGCTATCCTATCGTTGCTAGGCCCTTATTTCACATACTCAAGAAGAACGTTCCAATTCGAAAAAAATCAAATATTTCGAAAAAGTAGAATTGTAACTGAGCAGGTAAGCTTGTTTCGGTATGACCATTTCGAAGTCAAACGAGCGTGAGAGATTGATCCACTGGATGTTACTAAACCTGATTTACACCCCATTTCTCACTGCTGAAGCGTTAATGGTTAGCAATGCGCTTATATCCAGACGATCATTTGATAAAATGGGCCTCATTTCTCCGACCTCAGGTGAACTGTCGTAGTCGAGAAGGATTACTTGGGCAAGACTTCCAAGAATTTATAGCCGTCGCAGGCTGCTTGAATTGAGCAGCACCAACATGGCGACCTATGTTTTCACTGTACTAACGCATCAGAAGCTTTCATTGAAGATCTGATAATGCGAGTCAGAAAATTCATCTACAATGAGATTTGATTAGGTGAAGTATGCAATGCCTGGGAGTGCCTTTAAAAATAAAAGTTTGGCCTGGCACTTGTCCACGCGAAGTTTTGACCATTCGATTAATACCTCAAGCGGTCAACAGGTGCTATCCCTTGATGTGGTCTTAAAGGATGGCATTGGCTTTGTCAAAAATCTACAGTCCACTTCGATACGCTTCTGAGGAGTGTATTGAGGAGCAGAATCTTTTATACCTAGGCATCTGAAAACAGTCGCTTTCACTTGATTCACAGTACGTGCGTCACAACAAAGAGCGCTCTGAACAGACCATGATCTTCACACACCTCTGTGCAAGCCTAACCTACAATGAGAACTCAGCTGACCTTATTTCCACGGCTCTGACGAAATTTCTTGGCCGCCCAAGTCCTTGTTCCTACAAGTTTTTTAACCTCTAAGCAGGTGGAATCGATCCATGTATCTACTAAGAAGTACTACGCGTATACCCCGAACGAAGTAGGCAGTAGTTAGTAAGAACTGCCCTTTTTAGGGAAGCTTTGTTCACTGTGGGTAGGTCTTCTTGGTTTCATTTGTTGACTGCTCCCTCGCTTATGCTTGTTTTTTTGGTGTTCGGGCTTATTGAAGCCAGATCAGAATGTTTTATCCTTGCCACAGCCCACTTCGGTGTATATTCCACCTCGCCCTTTCTAGGAGTTTCTGCAGGTACATACGACCGAGTTTTGTGAAAGATAGAGAAGCAGAGAGAAAAGAGGGTTTCATGTATAGCAAAAAGAAATTGCTGCCACGGAACGGCTAACTTTTTAAAATTGTTTTGGTTGAGGGAATATGAACAAATCAGTGATTTCACCTATCCAAACGTGATACACTTATTAGGTTGTCGGAAAAGTATTTGCGCATTTTGGTTTCCATGTTGTGAAATCTTTGGGGATTGCTCTGGAGCCTTCACTGCGGAATATGTGTAAGTGCAGGTCAATGCGCTTTCCACACCATATCTGCCGTAGCATTTCGCAACGGTTATGGCTGCAAGAATCGCTCTCGACCTAAAGCGAGTCAGACTGCCTTTACTTTGTAAGTTCAGAAAAAACATCTATTGTCTCCAACAGCATAACAAGATGTTGGTACAACAAGTTCAAAAATGGCCACTTTGACTAGACCGAAAAAATACTGTCTGGGAGACCAATTGACCTGAATGACGACCACCTCCTGGAACTGGTTGAAGAGAATTCCAGGTGTAGTACCCGTCAGCTGAAACAGGAGCTCATAGCCATCACGACACAGCAGCTGTCCATTTGCGTCGCCCCGGAAAGACATGGAG